CTGTAGGGGAGAGCATGCCACAGAACAGTCCTTCTCTTAAGAAAGACACATCTGAGTTCATGTCCTTGTTCACAGAAATCCATGAAACATCAGAGATCAATGAAATGTTAGGATTAGGACACCTTTGGCCAGCCACGGCAGGGACCTTGAAACCCACGTTGGCTTCAGGATTCCTTGATTCCATTCACGATTTCGCACAGGCAAGCAGGCAGGCTTTCTGTTCCCGCCAGCAGGAACAGGGGAGCTGCTTTCACAACAGTCATGGCCTAACGCGGAAGCTCAATCCCCGGCTGGAAGGCGAAACCAAGCAGACATGTGCATCGAAGCAGAATGAGTAACGTTTTGCTAATCTTCTGGATGTCAGGGGTGGTTGAATGTATGTTTGGGAATTTTTAATGACTCCAAAAGGCATCTTAAAAAGCCCTACTATTTTGGCGGCTCCAAGACGTAACTTTTGCTACCGGTACTAACACTTACCAGGGACTGACTGACACGCACACTGCTTTTCTCCCGGGCACCCCTTCCTTTCTGGGGCTCTCCAGACTAAAATGTTTTCTGTGTGTGCGTGTGCACCTTCCCACCCACAGAGGCACACCGCACAACTGAGGCCAAATCAAACTGAAGGGATTTATCACTTTTAGGGTTAAATTGTGGAAAAGGTAAAATTGTCACCCTGCCTTCGAATTTGAGCTATTTAGGTATTTCAAGATTTTCTTCCTCCTGGTGGAATTAAACTAACAATTTGAAGTTAACGACTGGAGGGTAAACAGTTCCTTCTTTATTAAATGAATCTGATTTATCAAGACTTGTATCAAAATGAATTTTACCCCAACTTTAACCTATAAATACAATCAACACATGAGTCTAGAGAACTCCCAGGCTTCGAGCAAGGCTTCAAAAAATATGATATTTTTCCCTATGTTGCACATTAAGTAGATAACTCCACGTCCCCGGCTGGGTCTCCAACACCTGTCACGGACAGATGCAGGGTAGCACCCATTCTTGATGTCGTTTTCAAAGGTGACGTCAGAAAAATAACTGCGGTAAGTTATTCCTAAAGCTGAGTGCTTTCAATCTAAAGATTTATGTTTTGTTCTTAGATTATCTCCTTCCTACTATGTTTGCATCAAGATGGTCTTTTAATACAATTTTAGTGATGAATGTTAGAGTTTTAAAAACATCCTAACTTGGCAAAATAAAAAACTGGGAGCCCTAGGCCAATACCACAAAGCATTTTTCTTTTGGGACTTTCTTGGTCCCGACAATTTTCATTTGAAAACTAATCTACAGCACCCTCTGAGCCAAGGAATTTAGGGTCTATCAGTTCTCATCTAGGTATCAAAACGGCAATGAGCCTTGAGAGCGACAAACAACCTACAGAAAATTTAAGTCTGATTTTAGTCAATACTCAGGGGAAGGGGGATGAAAAATTTATGGTCTTGGAAGTTCCTGGTCACTGTGGAACATTTCTCTCTTGCTGCATCCTACACCCACCCCTCCATCCTCAAAGCTACCTCCTGGTTTTGAAATAGGCAAGCAAGCTTTTGGAGGCACAGTGCCAACCTGTGCTCTCCCCACCATCACTCTGGGAACCCCAAATCAAGTACTCGACCCTCCTGGAATTCTGAGAGGTCAGCCCTGTGGCACCAAAGGCTTTAGAGAATGATCCACAGCATTTTGTCAGTAGAAATTCTATTGAAATAAATACCCAATACTAGCTTCTTGCGACTGTGGCATCTCACTCAATCCAGGTGACCCTAAAATCCACCCACCCTGGAGAGCCTAACTGCAGTTGATTTGGGAGATCAAAGCCAAGGACAGGCACTCCTGCCTCCAGAGCCTCCAAACTGAGAATAAAGGAAGAAAATCAGCTGACATAGGCCATGACAAGCCATCAATTGTTTACAACATTTTTCAACGAAGAATATATTAACATGTTGCCAAAAAATTTTAAAATCCCTATTTTCCAGAGATTATACCTACTTTTAACTTAATTGTATGCTACTTAAACTTTTCTTTATCTAGGCTTCCCCTAAAATTAAGTCTAATAATAAAACACTTCAGTAAAAAAAAAAATCCATAAACACTAAATATTTTAATACCTTTACTTACCTCATCTCTAACAGAGCTAATCAGTGGCAGATAATATATTTGTTGTGAAGAGAGTTAATTTCCTAGATTAAAAATGCACATAACACGTACAGGTGACAATATTTTGAGATATATGACATTAATAAAGGTAACTTTTATTGGGCTAGCCACTGGGCTAAGCACTTGACTTGGATTACCTCAGTTAATCCCCACAGCGAACCTATAAAGTAGGTGCTATTCTTATTCCCATTTTATAGATGACGTTTTAAATGAAGAACCTCATTACTGTAATTTAATCTCCACCAACCCAGAAGTTGAGTTCAGTGTTTACTCTGGCCATAAAAAGGTTGGAAAAGCAACTTAGAAATTAAAGAGGACGCAGAAGGCATACTAGAAGGTCCTACATTTTAAGACACTTGAAAAACAGATGCTAATTGCTTCTAAAAAGAGCTATTTGGGAAGATTCTGCCTGAAACTACGCTGTATTAAAACACTTCAAAATTCAGAATTTTGCTAGTTAAGAGTGGGTTTCCTCTCACTATTACCCCCAACAATGAGTCCAACTTAGTGAGGTTTTACTTGACTTCTAAATGTGATACAGTACAGTGGATGTTAGCAACTGCTCCCAATATCCATTTCCCTCTTCCCTCACCATTATCCCGATTGCCAGGTACCGAATCCTCCCCCCAGCCCAGTGCAGAAGCGAGCCTGAGCATGAACTGACCCAGGGAAGAATGAGCATGAAGATGAGAAAAAACTGGATGGTTTAGGTACTGCTGGGCTGCTGGTTCACACCCACCCTGCAGTCCACCCTATTCTTGCACATTGTGGAATACACGAGCTGATTAATCCCCTGTGCTGTGGGAGACCCTTTGAGTTTTGTTTTCTGGTATTCACAGCCCAAGAATCCAAGCTAATAAATGGGAAACAAGAACTCCTGTGGTCTGAATGTGTGTGCTCCGCCGAAATTAATATGTTGAAATCCTGACCCCCAAGGTGATGGTATTAAGGGCGGGGCCTTTGGGAGGTGATTGGGTCTTGAGGGCATAGACCTCATTAATAGGATTAGTGCCCTTACAAAAGAGGCCTTAGAGAGGGCCATGGCCCCTTCTGCCACGTGAGCACACAGTGAGAAGTTGTCAACAACCCGGAAGAGGCCCCCTCACCAGAACCTGGCCATGCAGGCACCCTCACCTTGGACTTCCGGCCTCCAGAACTGTGAGAAATACATTTTCGTTGTGCACAAGCCATTCCGTCTATGGTATCGTTATAACAGCCCAATTGGACTCAGATAAACGCTAACCCACAGCCTTTTCCTGCCACTTGCAAGATTTTGCTTGCAGTTTTTACCTGTTTCAAATGCTTTATACTGTTCCCCTTTCCCACCCCGCCCCCAAAATGTCACAGGCTTTCGAGAATCACATGAATGAATTAACAAGTAGCCTTGGGCAAGTCACTTGACTTCCCCAGGGCCTTTCAACTATTAATATCAAAAGGATGAGGATTTTTGTTGTTCTTGCTGGTCTCACAGCCAGCGGTTGGTTCTATGAAGTTGACCTCATAATGCAAAGTTTCACTCACTCAGATAAACGCCAAAGCCTCTGTTTCTTCTAAAGTAGAAACGCCCCTTATGATCCAAGTGACTTGCATCTCTTAGCTCTGTCTGACAGTTTCGATTTGCTCCATAGACCCTCCAGCCTCTCCGACTCAGCTCTGCCTCCAGAGGCCCTGCTCCGTGGACAGCACCCACCTTGCTCCCAGCGCCACAGTCAGGAGGCAGGAGACCTGGGAAGGCAGTTTACTGGGGATATTTATTCTCTAGATTCTTTCCCAGCCACGCTGCTGGAGGCTGATGGCTGACAGCATCCCTCTACCAGAGACAACCTTTCCAGCTCCCGTTTCCAATCCTGATAACCCATCCCTCTCTCTTCCTTTCAGGCCTTGGCCAGGTAACAACAGCTCGCTGCCGTTGCTGGCCCTGGGATGCTGTGGCTTCCCTTAACTCCGCCTGCACCTTACAAACAGTCGCTTCAGCAGAGTCTCTGCGTTACCCCATGTGAGTGAGCCATCTGTTTCCAACTGGAACCCCAAGACGCAATGGCTTAAAAATTAAATCAAAATCAGGCACAGTAAAAAAGAAATTGAAGCAATCAATTCTGAGCCTCACATAAGAGGAATGAGAAGTGTGGCACATGCCAAGAAAACAAAACCACATGCACGGAAAAAATCAAATCAGACGTCACCATCCGCCTTCCCCACTGTCACTGAGAATGTGCGGAAAAGAGCCATCTCCTGCTAGACCAGGGTTTACAACCCCTCAAAAATTAAAAATTCCGTTTATATACAAACCAATTGACCCTTCAGACAGCTTCCGTGTGGGACCTTGTAGAGGAATCATAGCTGCGTGCCCATTTTCTAAATTGAGACTAGAAGCGACCACAGGGCCAAGGCTGATAAAAAAAAAACCCACCAGAAATGCCCCATAACCAGCTAAGGCTCTTTAGTCCAAGAACCCGCAGGCTCTGTGGTGTTTCTCACAGCAGCCTTCTAGGAAGTACAGTGATTCTCCAGAGATGCATCCCAGCCATTGTTAACCCCTAAACACTTCTAGGGCCGCTGTCCATGAACGAACATTGGATCTTTAACTATTTACGACAATTCTGCAAACTCCAAAGAGACAAGATGGGATGCCCTCTGCCCCATTCCTGATGACACTGAGAACCAATGTGTGGATCCACCATCACCGAACACTTCCTGGGGAAAGTTTTCTAGAAATCTATGGGTATCCAGGCCCAAAGTAGCCCTCCTCCCCTTCTTGGGGCATTCTCTATACCACAGGGCTCAAAGAAACAATTTTATGAACACTTTGTCATAAAACGTTCCAACAAGAAAAATTTCAGAGAACCTACCTGTTTCAGGATTAAGATGCTGAATCTTTCAGGGTCGTCCTGCTTCTGCGTCCTCTTCCTTCAGCATTCTCCACAGCCAGGGCCTGTAGGACGACCCGGAGAGAATATTCAGGGTATCTGGCTTCAACATGGGAGAGGCAGTATCAACCAGGGAGAGAATGGAGAAGTGGCTTCCCTCTAAAGAGCCCAATGGCCAATGGGCTTGCCCAGGAGGACCCAGGAAAGCCGCTGAAGAAGGTCATTGAGGGAGGACAGGATTTAGGAGAGGAAGACACCCAACTCCATTCTTCTAGTTATTTGGGCCCTAAGCCCAACACATCATAGCTCCCCTCTTTCCCTCACAACCCACGTCTAATCCATGAGCAAATGATGTCAGCTTAACTTCAAACTATATCCAAATTCTCACCATTCCTTGCTACCTCCACTGCTAACTCTTTGGTCCAAGCAAGCAGCATCTCTCATTAGGTTATTGCAATAATCCCCTAACTAGTCATCCTACTCCTACCCTCATCTTTCTATAATCCACATCTTCTGGGTTGAATTGTGTCTGCTCAAAACTCCTGTGTTGAAGTCCTAATCCCTAGTATCTCAGAATGTGACATATTTGGAAACAGGGTCATTGCAGATGTAATCAGTTGAGATGACATCATACTTAAGTAGGTGGGGGTCCCTAACCCAATATGACTGGTACCCGCATAAAAGGAGATATTTGGGCACAGAGAGGCATACCAAGGAAGAGCACATGTGAAGACTGGTGTTACTGTGCCGCAAGCCAAGGCACTGCCAGCAGCTAGGAGAGAGGCCTGGAACAGATCCTTCCACGGAGCCTTCGGAAGGAGTGTGGTCCTGCCAACACCTTGACATCTTGGATTCCCACCCTCCAGAACTGGGAGACAATGCATTTCTGTCGTTTAAGCCACCCAGTTTGCGGTTCCTTGTTATGGCAGCCCAGGAAACTAGTACACCACGCTCCCTAGAGTGGCCTAAGTGATCACTTAATCACTCCACTGCTCCCAACACTCCCACAGTTTTCCCCTCTCTCAAAGTAAAAGCCAAAGTCCTTGAAATGACCCACAAGGTCCACATGACTTGGCTGGGCCTCTTCCGCAGTGGACTAAGACACCTGACCTGTTCTCCTCCTACTCTGCTCTTCCTCAGTTTCCTGCAGCCACAATGGCTTCCTCCAACACCCCACGCAGGCTCAGGCCCTCCACACTTGCTCTTCTCTCTGCCTGGGACACTGTCCCCCGCCAGGCATCCTTTGCTTCCCCCAGGTTTCTACTCTAATGACCTAAAAAGACACTGAAAAGGAAGGCCCGCCCGACCCCAGCACCCTTCTGTCCCCTTCCCTGTTGTATTTTTCTTTGTACCCCTCATCACCACCTGACGTTTACTTTTTTATTCCTCTTCCCGCACACTAGACTATAAACTCCATGAGAGCAGGGACATCCTATTATGGTGTGCCCCGGAGCGTGGAGCATAGTCGCTGCTTAAGAAATAGTTGCTGAAAGATTTATTGTGGAATCAAAGAAGCCAAGAGAAAAAGCGAGTTGCAAGAAGGAGGAAGTTGCCCAGTGTCAAAAGTAGCAAAGAGCCCAGAAAGCTAAGGACTGAAGTGTCCGTTAGGTGTGGCCACATGGAGGGCGCAGGTGACCTTAGAGAGGGCACTTCCTGCAGAAGGCGGGAGCCCTCTGCTGCAAAACCCACCAGGTCCCTGCCCTGGGCCGGGCGCACCCCCCAGGTGGAAGCCAGCCTGAGTGGGCTGTGTCAGCGAGGGCAGATTCCTTCCAGACATCCATCTGTGACAGCAGAAGAAAAGAGGATGTGAGGTAGACGAGGATGAAGTTTGAGGAAACACTCTGTGACGGAATGACTGGAGGGGTGAGGTCCCAGGGGCTGCAGGAGGCGTAGGGACCCATGTACAGGGAGAGGGTTCTCTAGCCAGCAGGAGGGACGTTTCTTTCTCTGGGTAGAAGGCAACGAGGTTGACATGAACCCAGATGCAGGTCAGCGCGCAGGAGGGGCGGCAGCTTGTTCGGGGTGCTTGCTGCTGGGTGTTTTTTTTGGTTGATTGATGCCGGGCGGTCCTCTGAGTTGGAAAGTTGCGGCCGGGGGGGGGGGGTTGGTTGCGGTTGGGGCCGGGTTGGCCCTTCTCCTTTTGGGGCTTCTTGCAGGGGCGGGCTTGGCCTTGAACCCCCAAAGCTCCTTACATTTGTGCCCTCAGTGGCTCGTTCATCTCACCCCAGTCTGGACCCTGACTGGAGAGAGCTGGTGGCTGGCCAGCTGACACCAGAGGCCACGGTTTCACAGAGGCACAATCTGCATGGCTGTGGGGCTTTCTGTGGCAGCCCTCAGCAGCCGGGGTTCAGGGTGGACAGTGCTCCTAAAACTGAATTCAGGGACCCCAAGAGACTCCATCCCTTTCTGTGAAGCCTTCGTCATTCTCCTGGGCTCCCAGATGCAGAACCTTGTACTCCGCTCCCCACCCCAGTTCCTCCCAGTCAGTCACAAATCATGTTTCTCACGATGCGAGGGGACTCGTATTTGTTGAGCACCTACTACGTGCTGGGTGTGTTGCAAGTTAAAACTCTCATACAACAGTTCTGAGAAGCATTTTTAGCCTCTACTTATGGAGGATGAAATTGAAATACAAAGCAATTAAATAACTTTCTCAAGGTCACACAGGTAGCAAGTGGCAGAGCTGGGATTTGAAAGCTTCCACTTCTCTATTTACCTTCTTTTCTATATAGACTGTCGTCGCCCTTAGTCCAACTCCTCAACATTTCATTTCTAAAATTCTCCGTGATCAGTGTCTTCTAATCACCCCCCAGCATTGCCCATTCGCAGTCCACAAACCCAGATGGATCTTCTTACGGCATTATTTTTACCTATCCTGGTCCCACTTGATCGGCTTGGGAGTTCAATGCCAAACTCCATACTATCCCTTGGGATCCCTCATAAATGATGCGCATGTCCTTCTTCAACCTTGTTTCCCATGCACACCTCTGCTCCATCCCACCTATATATTCCTCCCTGTTTTCCATGCTCCCTGGAGGCCCCAATGCTGAGCACATTCCTCCCCCTGCAGCTCCGCCCTCCCAGCCCCCTGCTCTGGCCTCTCTCCTGCAGTTCACGAGGGACACCACCCCCACTTGCTGAGCTCTCCCTGGCTCTTCTGAGCTCACTGCATTAGCTTCTCTGGGCATGGGTTCCATGTGCCCGTGTAGACCGCAAGCCCCTTGAGGGTAATTAATAGCTGTGTTGAAAACGCTTGTAATTGCCCACTGCTCAACACAGTGCCTCTAGTGGTAAACGTAACTTGATCCACAGAACCTGATGCTCAGTTGATACAATTTTAGAGGTTTTTCAGAAAATACAGGAGAACCAGGATGGGTAAGTGAAGGGATACATGGCCTTCTTGAGGTTTGGAAAGCGTTCCCATTCTTCCTTTGCGGGAGACGCCCAGAGGCCCAGAGCCTGGCAAATTCTAGCAGCTACTCTACTAAGGAGGAGGATGGCCGGATTTGGCTCTCCCGTGCACCTGCACATTCAAGGTCCTGGGTCCTTTCCTTGGCACCCTTTCACAAGCTTTGGCAAACATACATAGATATACTCTCTTCTTCCTTCTTCAAGAGAAGAGCTTGAAATTTGAGAAATCTAGCTGGGTGGAGAAGCTCATGGTGACCAGCAGAATAATAAGGACTGGGTGCCCAGAAGTAGGAAAAGAATATTGTTTGTGGGAAATCAGGAATTGGACTGATCCGTTTTGATCACCAGCTACAGACCACCACCCGACACCACTGGGAGTCCCAGAGCACGGGGAGGATGACTGGGAGAGGTGAAAGTCAGCAAAGCATTCATGGGCCATCCAATCACCTAGACAGACAGCAGGGCGGACCTGGACAACAATGGGCTGGGAGGAAACTATGGGGCACAATAGGATGCTGCCACCAAGATGCCCAATTAGAAACCAAGATCTGAGGCCGGGCACGGTGGCTCACGCCTGTAATCCTAGCACCTGAGGCCGAGGTGGGCAGATTGTTTGAGCTCAGGAGTTCGAGACCAGCCTGAGTAAGAGTGAGACCCCGTCTCTACTAAAAATAGGAAGAAATTAGTGAGACAAATAAAAATATATAGAAAAAATTAGCCAGGCATGGTGGCACATGCCTGTAGTCCCAGCTACTCAGGAGGCTGAGGCAGGAGGATCGCTTGAGCCCAGGAGTTTGAGGTTGCTGTGAGCTAGGATGATGCCATGGCACTCTAGCCCGGGTAAAAGAGTGAGACTCTGTCTCAAAAAAAAAAAAAAAGAAACAAGATCTACCCGAAGCAGTGGAACCAAAGGGGCAGTGTGTTCCAGGACTTAATTGAAATATTAGTAACAGGAGCGCTGGAGTCAGGCCTGGGAGCAAATCCTGACCTTGTCATCTCGTTCAACCTTGGGCTGGTCACTTAACCTCTCTGAGTCTGGTTCTGCATGAACTAATGTGAGGCCTGAATACAACAAGAAGTATCGAAAATTCCTAGCACAGTGCCTGGAATTATATAAGGGACCACTCAGTGTTGCTCCCCTCCCCACTTCCAGCCTTCGGACGTCACAGCTCTTTCCACCCTCAATAACACGAACGAGTGCAGATGCTACAGAGCATTTTCCAGCAAGAAGGATGCAAAGAAGGATGCAAAAGTCAGCCAAGGAACAAAGAGGCCACCCCGCAGCTGGTAAGAGAGAAGCGCTGGACCTCAGTGAAAGCTTTGAGCCTCAGACCATACCGAAACAGGAAGTTAGTGACAACCCTAGACAACGCACATGCACAACTGCAGGATGCTGCACGCCACTCAGAAAAGATGAACTCCAGCCCTTCTGGAGGACTCCACGTGGAATACAAGAGCATGCCTAGCTGACACTCCAAAGGCACCAAGCTCTTCCCTGGTGTCAGGATGCACCTTGCCCTGGGGTCCTCCTCAGCCCAAGCACGGGAGGGATCTGGGACAGACCGTGTGGAGCCGCTCTGAGGATCTGCCCACTCCTCCTCGCTCTCTCTCCCTCCCCTACCTCCTAAGGCATCAAGGACAGCAAGCGCTCTGA